CTTTGGCAAATTTCAAGTGGGCATCGACCTTTTTATTCCAAAAACGAAGAATATGATGCAAGTTTAGTTATAGAAATAATAAAAGGCCGAAGAGAAAAAATTATCGAGGGTACTTCTACCGAATATAGTGAATTATATAAAGGTAAAAATGCATGCATCACGTTTCTTTATGCGAGATTATTTATATGATAATATATATTAATTTTTTTTAGCATGTTGGAGTGATGATTCAAATGATCGTCCTACCCTTCAACAAGTTGTTGATTCACTAAAAGCAATTATTTCTGAGGATAATGATAAATTTCATTCTATTATTATTCACGCAAAAAATAAAATAGAATCACAATATGATATACATTCTAATTCAGCATCTCCTAACATGCCATGCATGCATAGTAATAATTCCGAGTTATTTTTAAGTAAATTGATACAAGAATTTAACTTAGATTCAATAAACATTGAAGGACATTTACATATATTACATCAAGCAGAAAAATTATTTTTGAAAGTATTTGATGTAAGCAAAGAATAAAAAATATTCTCACACTTGTAAATAATTTATAAAAGACATGATTTTATTTTAAATAAATATCATTATACATAAATTTATTTAAATTAAATTATTCCTATTTTATTAAAATTTAACTATGACCAAACGGTTATCAATGATTGGTCAATTATTATGTGAATGCACTTATAGAAGGTGTTCTAATATATCTGGGACTTAAAATTGATTGCATATACAGAACATAGAGGGAATGTACTTAACTCTAAATTTCAAGCTTGGGACTGAGCTATGGTATGTATATAGAAAGGATGTGAACTTATAGAGGATGTATTTATAAAGGTGTTACTGTATGCTCTTAGAAAATAGGCTGGTAAAAAATAACCATTATTTGACTAAATTTTAACGATACTTACTAAGACCTATTAAAAAGGATTAAAAAGATATTAAATTAACAAAAACTAGTATAATTATTACCCTTTTCTTTAAAAAATTTTTAGAATTTTTTAGTTTTATAATTATGCTGCATGATCACAAAATTCTGAATTCAATTTTTAGATTGATGGTTAATCATTTGACTTGTTAATAAATTTGATATTATAGAAATATTACTCTTTAACAGGATCGCATGCTTTTTTTTATGCCAATATGAAATATTACAATTCAAGAATCTTATCAGTATAGCTTTTTCAAACTTTCAAATATAAGATAAGGTCACTTGACAAATATGCTTACTAATTTCATATTCAGATGATCGGTCAATCGAGAAAAAATTGTTATAAATGATTAAAATCAAATTTCAGAATTTTGTAAATCTAGAATTAGCACTTAAATCATCAGCGTAGTTACATCTGACTAATCAAGAATATGTGAATTGCAGATATATCAATACAAAACTTATCAATCTTTTTGTGATTAATAATAATCCTTAAGATATTGGTTTTAAAGATAGGATATGAATATGTTTATTTTGTCATTTATATAATTTTCTTCAGAATTTTGCAGTAATTAACCCTTTATACAACTGAAAGCAAATTTCTTAGATTAATACAAGAAAAAAGAATCAAATTGTAGGATTAGAAGTTTAGAAACAGATTCTGTAGTAAAAAAAATAAAAAAATTTTTTAGTATAAAATATACTTCATCTGAAAACATTTTTCACAAAAATATTTTATTTTATTAAATGCAAATATTTATTAGAATAATTAGATTAAAAAATAAATATTCTTGTTCTTATAAATATAATACTTCTTCTTTGATAATTATCATCAAAATATTTCCTTGTAAGTAATCATATTTTTATGCAATATCTGAAATGAGTCAAAATAAAATAAAAAATCTACCTTTTATCTATTGAGATTATACATGAAGTCGAAATGGATCATTTCGGATATCCGAAATGGTCGAAATGGTCGAAATCATTTCGACCATTGGA